GAGAGCACTGTGCGGGCGAACTGGAATCGAGTCTGGAGCTGGCACGGTGCAACAAGAAACTGCGACACCTTCGACGAGCGCATCAGGATGAAGTGACTGAACAGCTGATTGATGAACTCAGTGCTGCCTGGGGTGCTAGGCAGCATGCTGAGGTATGGAAGCTAGCGCATGAGCTTGCAGGACGTTGTTCTGGACCTCGGCGTAGGCGTTTTAATTTTGCTGAGACCTATGCGCCCAGGACGGATGAGATTCGTACGCGCTTCAGTGGCCCTGGACATGCTGGGGGTTTCTCTGCGGTGCCTGTGGACTTTGCTGATTACCAGGCTCGGATACTTGAGGATTTGCCGCCGCCCGCATCCTTCGGCAGCGGCAACTTCTTGCACGTCGAGCAGGGTCGTGATGATCTGGCTGTGGTGACCGAGCTTGCTGCGAAGGCCCCTCGCAGAAAGGCGGCGCCCCTGCATTCGGTCCCGTCGGAGATCCTCATGCTGGTGCTAGATCCGAATCGGAAGTTCGACGGCACGTATCGGAAACCACGCCTGGCACGAAACGACGACGGAGACGAAGTTGAGGATCCTGGACCGCGAGCTGATTTTGTCCCTCGTCATAGGCGAGCTGGTGACAGGAGTGGGCTAGGTACGGAGGCGGCGGTGATCTCAAATGAGCTGAGTGCGAAAGCTTTGCAGAAAGTATTTCATCATATTCGGCGTGTGCAGCGGACGCCTGTGGTGTGGCATCACTCTCGCGCGACGGGCTTAGACAAACACAACAATAAGGAGGGCTTCTCTGCACGACGCTACATTCACGGATTGTGTCGCATGGGAGTGCTGTGGTACAAGGCGCAGTTGACCAGAGGCTTCCATGATGATGTGCCCGATCGTGAGCATGGATATCACATAGGTCGTAGCAGGGAGGGCGCACTTATTTGTCAGGAGGTGCTGTTGGCTCGACTTCGTCTGCTGGGAGTCTCGACGGTCACTTCCAAGGAGGATATGGCTAACGCCTTTGGCTGCTCTACGTTTCCTGCTCTTCGGTCAACTGTCTCATCCTCCATTCAGCCTGACTCGCAATGCTACTTCAACCAGCGGCACGAGACGAGCACCTTCACCATCTGCGGGGTCGACGGGGAGCAGACGATGCACAACCTGTGCGGGGCCTTCATGGGCGACGCGCCCGCGGCGATCTTCTTCGCGCGCACCTTTCGGCATCCCGTGCAGCGGTGGCTGGATCTTCTTCGAGCACAGACTTGGCATGGGCGGCCCCCTGCCCGTCCTGAGACTCACGCCGAGTGGGTCGACCAGGAGATTGTGCCGCCGTCGCCGCCTGCTGATCCTGATCGTACGCTGTCGCCTAGCGAGGCGCTGTGCACGGCCTGGGTTCCTATACTCCAGCGTCCCGTGGACCTGTCGACGCGGATCTACGCGGACGACGCGAACAAGACGCACATCGTCTCGTCGGCCAAGAATGCGTTGTTCACACTCGATCAGTCACATGTACACTTGAGTGCTTCGTTATCGACGGAAGGATATTCTCACAATGCTGGGAAAAGTTGTGTCTCTCCCTCCTTTGTGGGTCCTCGGTCGAAAGAGTACAGTGCTGCGGTGTTCGGGGGTGCTATTCGTGTGCCAGGCCAGGTCCAGTTCGACAACATTGCGTTAGGTATTCAAACGTCGGTGAATGGAGGAGTACAGGGAGAGCTTCAGCGTCGTATCCTGGCATGTCGGAGAGGTTACTACTCGATGGGGAGGTTCTGGGCAAAAAATCGAGTCTGGCGATTTACCCGCATCGTTTTTGGCGCCATCGTCCAGGGGGCCCTCTTGTCGGGCTTGACCACGCTTGTCCTGTCGGAGGCTCAGGAGCTGCGCCTCGACCGTGTGCTGATCGGCTTCGCTCGAAAAATCCTCGGAGGAGATGCATGCCTGAAGGTGGAGGTGAAGGATGAGGAGGGCCAGGTGGTTTTGGATGAACAAGGTAAGGCAGTCGTTCGATATCGAGCTCTCTCTGACGCCGTGGTCTTTCGTCGTGTCGGAGTCGCACCTGCCCGAGTTGAGCTCTGTGTGAGACGGCTGCGTCAGTATCAAAGGTGGATCAGACACCCCGAACGGCATCCACAGGAAATTGGGGCGATCTTTGGTCAGTTACCGCTCGATGCTCATCCCACACTGTGTGCACAGGGCTTCTTGCACGAGCACGCGAACGCATGCGCCATGCGCTTTGCGTCGGACATCCTTATCTTGGTCCAGCGGTCCGAGGCCGAGTTGCTTGAGTCATGGCTGTTTACGGGTCCCTCGGAGGAGCCCCATATGAGACTCTGCGTGCGGGCCCTCTTCATGGACGTGGATCTTCGGGAACAATTTCTGGCGCTCGATCCTGGACTTCTACGGGCTGAAACCAAGACCGTTGCTATACCGCCTCCTGTTGGGCTCTACGGGCCTCCTCCTGAGGTTCTTGAAGGTGCTCTTGAGGTGCCCCCACCACCGGTTGCTACATGGACGTGCGACCTTCTGAACGACGACGGGACGACCTGCGGGAGGGCCTTCAATACGAAGAGAGCGCTGCTTGCACATCAGCGCTTTGCGAAGGGAGGGGGGCACTCTTGCAGATCTAGAATGCACGCCATCATCGTCGCGAACGAGTGCATATTCTGTCGTCAAAGCTTTCGCACTCGTCGGATTGCTCAGGAGCATGCGGTGCAGGCAGTGATTCGTGGTCGCTGCCCCCCGAATGTCACGCCCTTCTTCCACGCTGTCCAGGACCCTGAGAGTTTCGTCTGTCCTCTTGCTGACCTCACACGGGGTACTCACTTTGGTGGTCATGATGCATGGGCTCACGAATACTGTTGTTTTCACTCGGAGCCGTTTGAGGATCGAGAGCAACTTTATCGCCATCTTTGTCGGCACTCTCCGAGGGCTCCACTTACTCAGCGTGAGATCGATGTGCCGCCTGGGGACGGAGGTGCTCGAGGCGGCGGCCCATCGCTCCCGATCGCACGGAGGTCAGCACAAGGGAGCGCGCAGGGGCCGCTCTGGCTCGGCGGCGCAAGGTTCCCGCCCGCGTGGCGGTGCCAGGCACCAGCAGCGCAGCACGGCGCCTGCGGGCGAGGGCGCCCCGAGCGCCGCGCAGCTCGCCAAGGCACCTGCCTCGCCTCCAGGGGGCCGCGGCGGGCTCGGCAGGCACGGCGGAGCAGGAGCGGGACGCGGTGGAGGAGCTCGCGACGACGCTTGTATGCAGATGGGCCAGACGTACGGACTCTCCGCCGACGCTCTCGAGAAGCTGCCAGCCATGGACATGAATCTATGTGCGCGGCTGATGCCAGTGATCATGCGAGCCGTGCTGGGCAACTCTTTCAACCTGAGAATGCTGATGGCGGCAGAGTTCGTCACCATGACGATGGACGAGCAGGCCGAGGTGATTCAGAGTGGTTTCCAGGCGGGACGAGCATACGCCACGGAGGCGGCCAGGATGCGCGACGAGTTCAACCAGGGCCCGCAGAACAAGCAGCCGCCCGAGATCATCATGGGGCCAGCATGTGTACAGGTCTTCCTGGTAGTGGCGAAGAAGGTGACAGCGATGGGCGAGCGCGTCGGCATGGCCAGCGCCAAGACGTGGAAGGAGCAGCAGGATCGCCTCGACAGTATTTCGCCGATGGACGATCTCACGATGTTGGTCAAAGGCTTTCGGGTCAGCTCGGCGTTCAAGGAGGGGCTCGCGAAGATCGTCCTCAGCTTGTCCGACCACAACATGCAGCGGTCGCTCCAGAATTGCCTCATCCAGATGGGGGCGACCCTGAGGCCTGGAATGGCGCCGAGATCTCACACGGAGAGGGTGTTGCAGCTAGCCTTGGACGAGTTCGACCTGTAGCCGACGGCGGCGTTAGAACGCAAGTCCCGTCCGCCTGCTCCTCGAGGGCGAGTCGGGCTCAGTCGTCACGAGGCGTCAGAACGCAAGCCATGGCATCCTCCCAGGGCGTCAGATCGCAAGTCCCGTCCGCCTGCTCCTCGAAGGCGTGTCGGGCTCAGTCGCCACGTGGAGTTAGAACGCGAGTCATGGCCTCCACAGCGGACGTCAGATCGCAAGTCCCGATCGCCTGCTCCTCGAGGGCGTATCGGGCTCCGTCGCCACCAGGTGTTAGAGCACAACTGGTGTCTGAACGCAGTCGGCAGGATGAGATGGGAATCGTGTCGTGTTCGGCGCCATCTTTTCAACAGCACGGTGAGGGCACCGTGAAGTATCTACTGGGGGCTGCTACAAGGACGCTGCCAAGAGCCAGCTCTTGTTCGCAGATACCAGGTTCGGGGACACAGGGGGCCAGCTGGAGTACACAGATGGCCAGGGTGAGATCGATGTCAGCTACTCCTGGTGCGAGGGTTGCTGCGTCGGGTTCGAGAGTTACCAGTTCTAGACTGCAGATGCCACTGATGGGGAGTTCTGCGACGGTGAGGGTGTCGGCCTCCATGTCGACTGAGGCTGTGGGTGCCGTGACCGCCCTGCAGGAGGCCCGAGCCGCTGCTGCCGTCGCTTGTCCCCCTCCTCCTCCTCCTCCTCCTCCGAGGCCTCCTTTACCTTCTCGTCCCTCCTTCAAAGACCTCGTGGCCTACGCCGCACGTTTTTAGCTTTCCTGGTTATAATCCTGTGTGTCTCCCGATTTGTTCGGGGTACGCTGTCAGGGACGCGTCTGGTCTGGATCCCTGGGCCGCAGCGTGTAAAAATTCGCTCAGTCTGCTCGCCGTGAACGGCGGTCGAGCGAAGGCAATTCGGGGCTCCCGCCTGTCTGAGGGGGGGGGGGCCGTCGTTTAGTCGCATCTCTTGCGCACGATAGGTCGCACATGGCAGAATCCCCCTGGTGAATGCTGCTCTGTGGTCACTCTGGCGCTCGGCCCGAGATCGTTCCACACCACCACCACCACCATCCTCCTCCTCCTCCTCCTCCTCCTCCTCCTCCTCCTCCTCCTCCTCCTCCTCCTCCTCCTCCTCCTCTTCCTCCTCCCTATAGGTTTGAGTGTGTGTTGTTCGTTGGTCACTGGCATGGCCCGCTGGGTGCAGTCGCTCGTGCTCGCGGGCACCGTGGTGGCCTCGAGCGGTGTCGGCGAGCTGCCGCGGCAGCTCCGCGGACCCGCCTCTCTCCGCAGGACGTGCACGCAGGGAGAGGCCGCGCGGTGCCCTGGGAGGAGGAGGAGGAGGAGGAGGAGGAGGAGGGAGGAGGAGGAGGAGGAGGAGGAGGAGGAGGAGGAGGAGGAGGAGGAGGAAAGAGGAGGAGGAGGAGGAGGAGGAGGAGGAGGAGGAGGAGGAGGGAGGAGGAGGAAAGAGGAATAGATGATGATGAGGAGGAGGGAGGAGGAGGAGGAGATGATGAGATGATGATGATGATGATGATGATGATGATGATGATGATGATGATGATGATGATGATGATGATGATGATGATGATGATGATGATGATGATGATGATGATTGATGGAGGAGGAGGAGGAGGAGGAGGAGGAGGAGGAGAAGGAGGAGGAGGAGGAGGGCGCGGAGGAGGGCGAGGCCGTGCGGTGCCCTGGCTCCGACGCCACGTGTGCCGGGGACCAGTGCTGCCCCCCCGTGGCCTCGTCGGGGAACCTGACCTTCCCCTGCCCATCTCTCGAGCAGGGGATCGGCTGCAGAGTTGAATCACCCAAGAGCTGATTCTCCTGCCGGATGTCCACGACAAATGCGTAGAAGGCTCGTAGATCTACGGGGCATCACACGATGTTGTTTCGTAGATTCGGCGGGAAAACCAAGTTTAGGGCAAATCAATTCTGTAGTCGGCCCCCTGCTCGACATCTCGGAGAGCCGAAGGCGGCACAAGCATAAGCGTCCGAAGTGCCCCTGGCCCAAGGTCCCCCCAGGATTCTCGGGGTGACCCAGGCGGCCTCCAGAGCATTCCTCACGAGGACCAGGGGGCCTCAGGGGCTCCAAACTGGAGCGAAAAGCTGGGGGCACCTTGGGCCAGGGGCACTTCTAGCAACACCCGATCGTCGGGGAAGCCGACCTTCCCCTGCCCATCTCGGAGAGCCGAATGCGGCATTCGACAGCAAATCATGGGAGCTTGGTGTACCTTCATAATTCCGTCTTTAGCATCGACTAGCGTCGATTAGCGTCTGGGAATCGATGAGATAGCGCCGAAGTAGCGTTGGTTATCGTCGAAGTTGCGTTGATTTTGCGTCGATGTTGCGTTGACTAGCGTCGATACGCAAGAGCCAACAAGATGGTTTGGGAGGCTCCCATGAGTTGCCGCCGAAGGCGGCACAAGCACAAACGTCTGGAGACCCGCGCGGGCTGCCTCGGGTCGGCGCTGGCCCCCCCCTCCTCCTCCTTTTCCTCCTCCTCCTCCTCCTCCTCCTTCTCCACCTCCTCCTCCTCCTCCTCCTCCTCCTCCTCCTCCTCCTCCTCCTCCCTCTCCTACCTGTGGTAGGGCCCCGCCCCCTTTCCCCACGCCCCTGGCGTCGCCCCTCCTGGCCCCGCTGTGCTCAGTTTTTCGCGGCCGCCCCCAGTGCACCCCGCTGGCCTGGCGAGGCGTCGTGTGGAGGAGAGGGGGCCCCTGGCGCCGAAAGTCCGCGCGGACCTCCCAAGCCGTGTGCCTACCCGGACCTCAGACGCGGTATTCTGTTCACGTTGTGGACCTTTGAGGTTCAGACCGCTTCCCAGGGATCGGCTCTCTATCCCGAGTCGTTTTTGGACTCGGGGGCGGCAAAGAGGGGGGTGATGACTAGGGAGGTGTGGATATCATGGCGGGGGACATGATATCTCCCCAGGTTCATGGCGCCTCTTCTTGTTTTAATGCGTCCCTGCCCCCCCCCCCGTGCGGCGCACATGCCGCCGGCCATGATTTGCGCCCACCCCTCTTGGACGCACCCCTCTTGGCCGCCCCCGATGGACGGTCCAGGGGCCTGGGCCCCCGGAGGCCGAAGAAGGTCCAAAATCGTCCGTCGCAGCCTGCTCGCGACCCGGGAGGAGGCCTTGGCTTAAGTCGGGCATGTCCCTCTACAGGGCGAATGTTCAAAAGTAGTCTGGGGACGATCTTCGGAGTGTATTTTCTAGCATTTTTTGGTTATTTTTCCTAGTTTTTTTTCTGTTCGTCCAAAGTCCGCCTGCAGGGGGACCATGCCCGACCTGAGCCTCGGCGTGCCGTGCATGTTTTGGCTCTCTGCATCTGCGAGCAGCAGCTTCCAGGGCTGCGAGAGCGGCGCGAAGGTCCACGACTGCGAGGACCCCTCACGGTCGCAGCCGCTGGCGACCGGCGCGTGCCGGCAGGGCGAGCAGGTGCTGTGCCCCGGCTCGGGGGCCGCGTGCGCCGGGGACGCGTGCTGCCCGCCGGACTTCAGCATCGTCCAAACGATCCCCGTCCCCTTTGGGGGAGGTTATCTCGGCCCCATCATGGATGGGCGTGTTTTCCACCACCACAAGTTGGAGGGGGAGGGGGTCCTGCTCCTCCTCCTCCTCCTCCTCCTCCTCCTCCTCCTCCTCCTCCTCGTCGTCCTTCCCCCCATCCAACTGATGCTGGTGGTGGTGGTGGTGGTGGTGGTGGAAAACAGGCGCATCAATCATCCCTCCCCCCCAGCTTGGGATAGGGCTTGCGAAGCCCGAAGGGAACAGTATATATCCCCATTTCGGGGGGTAAATCGGCCAGTGGCACGAAGGTCACGTCCGTGGGGGTAGGGATCGGTTGATCGATGCCCAGGACGCGGCCTCCGGGAACAGGACGTTCCCCTGCCCGTCCGCCCAGACCCCCCTCGAGATTGTTTTTTTAGGGGGACGAATAGTGACATAAACATGCAGACTCGGAGGTCTGCGCAGATTTCTCGGATCGGCGCTGGAGCCCCCTGGCGGCGCCTCTGGCGCCGCCCCTGGCGTGCTCCACGCGCCAGGGAGGGGGGTCCAGCGCCGATCCGAGAAATCCGCGCGGGCCTCCGAGTTTTTATGTTTATGTCATTCTTCGTTACCCCATTGTTTTTGCATCCTCTGGCGCGTAACGGTCGCTGCCCGGGCCAGGCCACTCTCTTTGCGCTCCTGGGCTAGAGGAAACGATCGTACATGGGGGGGGGCCTGGACCCCCCCGCCGCATGCTGGTGCTCGCGCGCAGACGTTGGTGATCGCAGCGCACCCCCGCCCCGACGTGCCCCACCCCGCCCAAGCGTTCCCGTTACCCGGGGCCCCAGCCCTCCACCCCCACGTTACCAGAAGTGATGAAACAACAATTTCCTCTCGCCATGAAGAAATCAAGACGGGAGGTTTTCAGTAGTGTTCGGCCTCTGGGGGCCTTAACTGGGCCTCGGGGTCGTCCACAAAACGACTTCAGCATGAAGGGCCAGTCCTGGAGAAGTGGCCCAGACTTTCGGGGGTCCCCGTCGTGAAAAAAGATCGCGAGGTCGGGGGTCTGGGCTCGAAGAAGAACAAATGCATAAACACAACCTTTCGAAGGTCCTCGCGGATTTCTTGGGTTGGTGCTGGACCTCCCTCCCTGGCGCGCGGCGCGCGGAGCGCGCCAGTGGCGGCGCCGGCGGCCGACCGAGGAAGTCGACCGCGCCGACCCAGGAAGTCCGTGCGGACCTCCGAAAGGTTACGTATGCCATGCTTTGTTTTCGTCTTCGGCGTCCGCCAGCAGCAGATTCGGGGGCTGCGAGAGCAGCGCGAAGCTGTTCTACACGTGCGCGGAGCAGGCGGAGCAGGGCCCCTCCTGAGCGCTGCGCCCCGAGGCGGGCGCCGCTCCGCCAGCAGCGGGCCCAGCGGCGCGGCTGCGGGAGCAGCACGGTTTTCGACGAACAATAAAAAATACCGCCCAAATACCCCGAAGAAGTTAAACAATATTCAAGAAATAGTCCCCAGATTATGTTTGGACTATTTTTTGATTATTTTTGGGGTATTTTTTGTTTTTCGTCGAAAATCCCCCTGTAGGGGGACACGCCCGACTTAAAGCCAGGCTGCACGTGCACGGAGCAGCCGGGCTCGCCCTGGCCACAGGGTTTGCCCGTGCCCGTTCGCCAGTACAGTCGGGGCGCTGAAGGAACTCTGTTCGTTGGGAGGGGCTCGGTGTTCCTTCATTGCTTTGCACTCACCCTCAGGTTTTCGATGGGACATCGAAGTCCAGATCACGGGAAGACGGGGCCCCGTTCCTTGTTTATGGTTTCTGAGGTCAGCGCCCCGACGGCAGTCTGCTGCCTTGGCGCCCCTGCAGCCGGAGGGTCTGACGTTAGGTCGCCCGCAGGGGGGCGAAGAGTCGGGGGTGGACAGAACCCCCACCCTGACACGTCGATGAGTGGACTGCTCGTTCTCGGTTCTCGAGAGGGCGCCGCGGCCGTCACTCTCCAGGCTTTCGCCTGCCAGGTTTGGGCCCGAGGTCCTTTTCACTGAACCGCGTTCTGCGAAAGGGGGTGCTGTCCATCCCCGAAAGAGGATCGCGCTTCGCGGCCGGGGCCTGGACGGCGCGCGAGGGCGCGGAGGGCACGCCAGCGTCGGGCACCGCGGGGCGCGGCGCGCGAGGCTGGGGCACCCGGTGACTCGAAGGCTGCAGGAGCACCGCGATCGGTGTCTGGACACCCGCGCGGGGTCGTCGGGGGATCGTAACGAGTCCTCGATCTCAGAGGCCAGGCGAAGGCTGGCAAACCCGTGGCTGCTAAAACGGAGCTCTGGGAGATTGTTTTTTTCTTCCGGGCAGCAGCCCGTTTATTGTCTAGTGCGCGGGGTCATGTTCTGGGAACTTGTGTAGTTTTTCGGGCAGGACCGTTGTAGCAGCCGCGGATTTGCCAGCCCTCGCCCAACCGTGCACCCGCACCGATCCTGGCCAGGCCGATGCTGGGCCAAGGATCGCCGCGTGCGCCCTCCGGCCCAGGCCAGGGGGTCGCACCACGCGCGTCCTGGGCCCAGGGCGAGGCCGCCAGGGCCCGGGGTCCCAAACGTGGGCCTCCAGGGCGCCGTCCCGTGAGCGCCCTGCCGCCGCCCTGTCGGAGCGGAGCCAGCGCTGTGTGTGTGGGGGGGAGGGCGAGAACGAGGATGAGGATGAGGACGAGGAGGACGAGGACGAGGAGGAGGAGGAGGAGGCGGAGGAGGAGGCGGAGGAGGAGGAGGAGGAGGAGGAGGAGGAGGAGGAGGGGGAGGAGGAGGAGGTGGCGGAGGAGGAGGAGGTGCAGCTGTGGATGTGTGTCAAGTTAGCCAGCTTGAGCGAGCCAGATGGCTCCGTGCACTCCCACCCGCCCTCCCACAACATCAGAAGCAAGCGCGTCGCGTCCGACGCCTGTCGCTCATCTTACATCGTGGGCGGCTAGACTTTCGGACACGACAATGGGCGCGCCGGCGGCGAACCGCACTTGCTTGAGGCATTATGACTTGCCGCCCGCCCAGCTCCTCAACCCGACGGGCCGCAGCGTCGACGACAAGAAAGTCCATGTTGACGAGCAGGCGTCGCGCAATGTGCGCCGCGTCCCATTCCCGCTGCGCGATTCGCAGCGCCAGCGAGGAGAAAATACATGTTGGCAAGAAAAACGTCGACGTTGCGGTGCTTTTTGACAGGTGCGACGGGGGGTCCCGCGTAGGGTTGGCCAGGCGTCCGCGCGCGATGTGCGCCGCGTCCCATTCCTGCTGCACTTGTCGCAGCGGCGACGACAAGAAAGTTCATGTTGACGAGAAAAACGTTGACTTGGGGTATGACGCGACCACCCGCTTGATGGGTAGGACGCGACCACCCGCTTGGGGTTACCGGAGAAATGTACAGTCCGTCCCGTTCTTGCTACACTTTTCGCAACTTGACGACAGGTTGGCGAGAAATTCAGTTTGTGTAATTGTACAGTTCGGACGGCGGGTATGGTATCGGCCGATTCGGCGGGGATGTGTGTGTGTGTGTGTGTGGGGGGTAATCATAGGAAGTAAGGATGTGCGTGTGTGAGAGAGAGAGAGAGAGAGAGAGAGAGAACGAGAGAGAGAGAGAGAACAAGAGAGAGAGAGAGATAAAGTGTGTTTGTTTTTTGTTTGTTTGTGTGTTACTTGATTATGTGTTTGTTTAGTTTTTGTTTGTTTGTTTGTTTGATTGCTTGCTTGTTTGCTTGCTTGCTTGCTTGCTTGCTTGTTTGTGTGTGTGTGTGTGTGTGTGTGTGTGTGTGTGTGTGTGTGTGTGTGTGTGTGTGTGTGTGCGAGGTCGCCCTCCGCGCCTCGATGGGCTGTGTGTGTTTGTTCGTGTGCGTGCGTGTGATCGCGGGACGCTCCCGTTGCGGGCAGCGCCTCCTGCCTCCCCGCCGTCCTTGCCCGGAGGGCCAGTGCTGCCGCTCCCTCGCGAATGGGGGTCAGTCAGAGCGCCGTATCTTGCAGGATCCTGCAGAGCCAGGGGTGCACTGACCTGTGTTTGCGTGCAGGATGAGGAGGAGGCGCAGGAGGCGGAGGAGAAGGAGGAGGAGGAGGAGGAGGAGGAGGAGGAGGAGGAGGAGGAGGAGGAGGAGGATGACTGCAAGGCCTGACGGATCTGGGTCTGTATTGACCCGGGGCAGTAAATGCCCGACTCCCTGGGATGGCGCTTGCGGCGATCCGAAGCGATCCCGCCTGAGGGCCCGGGCTCACGCGCCCGCTCCCGCCGCTCTTCCACTTGCTCCGCTTCGTCGCCGCGCGCGAGGCCGCGACCGCCAAAAAGTGTGTGTGTGTGTGTGTGTGTGTGTGTGTGTGTGTGTGTGTTTAGACCCATCCGCCAGCGCAGACGACCCCTGCCTAGCCGCCGACGAAAAAAATGTGTGTGTGTGTTCCCTCCTAAGCGATGTTGAGGGCCTGGCCGCCGCGCGCTGTTTTGACGGTTGCGCTTTCTTCGCCTCGTCGCTGCGCGCGAGGCCGCTACCGCCAAAACATGTGTGTGTGTGCTTTGGTTCAAATCTGTTTTATTAATGCACTCAAGTCTCACACGGCGTGTTTTCGAGCAGGCTTTGTCAGAGACCATTCACATGCCCATCGAGGGAAAGATGGCGTCGCTGCATGCTGCTGCTGCTGATCCTATCGGGCGTTGATCTCGTCCACTCCTTGTGTGCGTGTGTGTGTGTGTGTGTGTGTCGGTGGGTGTTTGCGTTCTTTCAATTTGGACTGCGCACTGCTCGGTACTACTCCTTGTTTCTCCCTGTCCCCGCTCTCCCCCGCTGCTTCCCTCGCGATTGCCCCCATCGCGAGTGATGCGGTTGATCCTTTCTGGGCGGATCCAGTATCTCCACGCCGCGTGATTTGGGCCGTCCGCGCGACTCTCTCGTCGCCCAAGTTTCTACAACGCGCCGCTGCGCGCGTGGCCGCGGCACCAATCAATTGGTGTGTTTGTGTTTGTCTCTGTGTGTGTGTGTGTCTGTGTGTGCGCCTCGGATCAAATGAGACAAAACAGCATAGTTATAAACTTTGGGTGCTCCGTTCGGATATCTTGGATCGGCGCTGGGCCCCCCCTGGCGGCACCTTCGGCGCCGCTCCTGGCGCGCTTCGCGTGCCAGGGGGAGGGGTCCAGCGCCGATCCAAGGTATCCGCGCGGAGATCCGATTGCGAATGCCTTACGGCCGGTGCCGCCGACCCTGAAGGGATATGACGACGACGACGACGACGACGACGACGACGACGACGACGACGACGACGACGACGACGACGACGACGACGACGCTGATGTGGGTCAGAGTCCTCAGGGATGCTTCTTGGGGTCTCTTCGGAAGTCTCTCGGGGGCATCTGGGGAGGAATTTTTGGGCCTCTTGGGAACCTCTTGGGAGCCTCTTGGGGGCCGCTTCGGGCTTCCTGGGGACCTCGTGTGGGCCTCGTGGGGCCTCTTGGGAACCTCTTGGGGCCTCCTGGGAGCCTCTTGGGGCCGAGGGCTCGACATGTCCACAGTCGGGTCCCCCGTCTGGGAACGCTCTTGGAGCCGTCTTGAGGGCCTCTTGGGCCGTCTTGGAGGCGTTTTGGGCTGGCTTGGGGTCCTCTTCGGCTGTTTTGGGGACCTTTTGGAAGCCTCTTGGGCCGTCTTGGGGCGATCTTGAGGGCCTCTTACGTCGTCTTGGGGCGGCGGGAAGTGGAAAAGGCGAGAACGCCCAAATCTTAAAAAACAGCGGAAAATCGATTAATTCAGCCTCTTGGGGCCCTCTCTGGAGTGCTCTTGGAGGCGTCTTGCGGCGTCCTGGAGGCCTCCCGGGCAGTCTGGAGGGCGTGAAGGCGTTTTGAACCGATCCTTTGGCGAGAGACCCTCTTGGACCGTCTCGGGGGCCTCTCGGCACTCTTGTCCTGTCTTGGTACTTTCTGAGGCCCTGGTGCCCCCAGGGGAGGGATGCCCTCCCTCCCCAGGACCCACCCCCGCTCCTGGGACCCCACCTCCCCACGGGGGAGGGATCAAAGGGAAGGAGCTTCCCCTCGACTCGATTACGACATTGCTGGATCTTTCTATCGCTGACAAGCTTGAGGAGGAGGAGGAGGGGGGTGCAGGGAAAGTGGACGACGGAGACGACGACTGACGGAGACGACGACTCGAACAGACAAGCACCTCACACACGCTGACAGGGTCGGCGGTCTTTTTGTGTGCGTATGCACCTTTTTGTTTGTCTATCGACTCCGGCGGTGATGGCTATGCGCAACGTCGCAGGCATCCGGATACGCCGACCTTGTTTTTTTTGTTCACAGTTCTCGCCGGAGAGGCTGGTGAGGACTGGGGGCGTGGGGATACCACCTGGCGGGGCACGCCACTGAGTTGCGCGA